CTTTAACAGTGCGTTTCGATGCGGTTCGAACTCATTATGAGTGATAACAAAGTTATCTTTCTTTGGAGTACGATTGAGTTGATCGATGATGGAGTACTCACTTTGTCTTATGTATTGGAGTAACTCATCTGTCTCCTCCTTGGATTCTTTTTCCTCTTCGGCCTTATTTTTCACCTTTTCTTTAGAAGTATTTTCTTGTAATTCCTTGGGGGAATATATTCTTCCACTTCGAGTCATGCCCCCAATACGGCTATGTTGGAGATGTCTTGATTGGCTGGCAATTCTTCGAATATCTCCAAGGTACAGCTTTATTTGATAAGTAAGGGAAAGGACGAGGCACGAATAAACGTATAGGTGTTATTGCCTTCTCCCTTGGAATGATTAACGGTGCTTGTTTGTTATCGTCTTCGGGTTTATCGACTGTCGTAGAGATTTTGATGACGAAAGGCTTCTTTTCCATTTTTCGATTTGTGGAAAGCACATCAATTAATCCTTTCTTTTTATTATCTTTATTATTAAAATGAGGAGGGATGTATGAATGTATGCAACTTATGAATGCAATAGACAATTTAAGGAGAGAAAAATAAATCCTTTTATTAGAAAGTGTAAATCCTTCTATACAATGCTTTGGAGCAAGTGCTTGACAAAAACGGAAAAGCTTGAAGAGTCCTATAGGTAGATTAGGTTTTCTTCGTAATTCGTCTTCGGCTATTCTCACATGGTTTCCGAGTATCTTGATTTGCTCATGTACCACTTGACTCATATCTTCACTATATCGACGAGCCTCTCTCATCTTTTCTTCTAGATGAACGATCAAAGCGTGTTGTTGGTCGGACCTCTCTCTTATTTGGTCTCTTTCACGAAGTAAATGACCGTACTTGAGCTAAACCATCCTTTTCTTTATCATGCAGCTCATTCAGGCTTTTCTTGTATTTTTCAGCGGTTTCTTGCCACTTTTGTGCTTCGAGCCGAGTTCCAGCTAGGTCATCCTGCATCAACTTGATCATTTTTGCACCTGCTCTGCAAGTGCCTTCTCAAAACGTGCTATTTCGTCATTCATGTCCTGGAAAAGACTATCTTGTTCAAGCCTCGGAACTTTCGGTGTTTGTTTAGCCTCTTCTTGGTAGTCGGCATAATCATTCTTGAGAAGCTCTATCTCATGGTCCTTCTTTTTGCATTGCCTTTTTAGACCATCTATTATAATGGTTGATTCTTGCTCTTTTTCTTCAAAAGTCCTCAGCTGAGTTTCCATGACTTCAACCCTTTTGTTTAAGGCATTGACACTGTAATTGTAGCTCTTCGTCGGCTAACGCTTTAGTGAATGCGAGAAGATGGTAGGGGTATCCCTCTATTTTTCCTCCATTCTTCATATTCAAGGGATGTAGATACTTGAGCCTTTCAGAGTTCTTTATCCCCCAGGTAGGCTGGTCTTTCCCATGCTTTCCGGACAGCGAGATACTTCTTCAAAGTTATGGGAATAGTGGCATAGACTCGGCTCTACGAGCTCTTCTTGGGTTGGCGCGAGTTTGAGTTCTCATAAGTTGTCTCATAGCCATTTTAGGAGAGTAGGCTATACGGCCTCCGAGACCTAGAAGTGGTATACTCGGGTAGTCTCCGCATCGTATGAGAATATAACCGGGTCGGAACCAAGGGCAAACCCATGATACATGCTCTATGTTCCAGTTTTCTAACTCGATTTTCCACTCTAAGGCTTGACGATGTTGAAGAGGGATTTTTGAGAAATTTCTTAAAGGGTCGGGAAATACACCCATGTGGCTTGAGGCGTAAAAGTGAGTAACACCCCATATATATAGCAATGGAATACAACATCCGAGTGTTTTTCCCTGTTTACGTCGGCAAAATTCTACGAAAGCGGGGTATCGGCAAGGATCGCAGGTATAGGGCTCTTAGAGTATACATCCCGGGCGAAGAATGCGTCCATTGCAGCATGATCCACGATGTTTACATGGAATGGGAATAATATGATTCCGAACATTGCTAGTGCTAGAGTTTTGTTGAATGTTGACCAGTCTTTCTTTTCGGCTAAAGAGACTAAGTGGTCTTCTATTATAGCCATTTTCCAACCTCCGATATTCCCTTTTCCCTCTAGGATAGATTGATGAGGAGGCGATCGTATAATAGTAGCAACCTTACTCACGGCCGTATATTCTCCTAGGCGAGACATAAACCCCAAGCTGATTGAGGCCATCTCACCATAAGTTCGTATTCTTCTAATGTCGGTACCAAGTCAAGCTGCGAGAATTCGAAGCGGTGTAAATCGGGATTCCGAAGTGGACCAATACTCTAACAAATATTGGATCAATGCTGATTTTCGGGAGGTCAAGAATTCTTCAGTAAGACTTCTCAAAGTTAGCATAGACCTCCGCGGCATATATGTACACAAATGCCTTAACTTCTCTACACGGCATAGAAGGATCTCCACTTTCTTTAAGCGTCTATTACTTGGATCCCTCCATTGTCTAGCAGAAATGAAAATGCATGATATGAGGATGAATTTTTGTAAATGTGTGTATGCAAGTGTTTGTTTTTCTACGTATTATCATGTTTTGTTCCTAATATGATTCATGGTAGTACTTGGTTTTTCTTGAAAAGAAAACTTATCTATATGAATGTTTATGGATTTTGATGAAGAGAGTCCTGTTTTCTTCCCTTTTTTATTTTTGATGAAGAAAAGGTGATATGAATTATGAGGCTTTTACTAATTTTTATTTTATAACAAGGGTATTTTTATGATTTTTAGGTTTTTTCATTTTTTTTGTTTGTTGTATGATTTCCCTATGCTAATGCATCAATACAAATGCAGCAAACGTATGCACACACAATTCATACATCCACGAGCAGAGCCACGCTTATTTAATCACGAGGTAGGGTTTTCCTGCAGAAACGTGCTTGGTTTAGGTGGTTCTAACTGTTCTCACCAGGCCAAAGGTCCTCAAGGTGCCCCCATTATAGGGACCTCTCAATCTCTCAATCCTCGGGTCATGCACGGAACTCCGTGGCGACACCCTTAGACCAAAAGAAGAGAGTTATCACCTTGAGTTGGTGGTTTTCCGACAACGGCGGTAGCCCGTGTGCCAACTAACCGATCGTATCTCGCCACCCACTCCCTATAGGTATTCACTCTTGCCCCGGGTATAGAGGGACTGTTGTGTGCAAGGGTTTTTGTGTGCGGTTTATATTTCAAACAATTTGCGAAATAATCATACAGCGGTTATTAAAGCCATACGAGTAAAAACATACGGAGGGTAAAGGCGTAATTTCAAATCATTACTTAGTTTGAATTTATCCGTCACTAAATGGGATCAACTCTCTAGCTTCCCCGGTGGAGTCGCCATCTGTCGCCGCCGTCCCTTTCCGACGTCCGGAGGGGGACGTCTTAGAAACGTTTATGCGAGCGGTCGCGAAAAGATGGTTTAGACTCGCGTTTTTGTTTTAAAAGGTTTTCGAAAAGGGGTTCTTATGGAGTCGCCACCAATGTTTTGACCATAAACATTGGAAAAGGAAAAAATGTTGATTTTAAGAAAAACCGCACTTGGCCATTATAACCAGAGTTGGGTAAGGGAGTTAGTTACGTGTAGGGAAGGTGTTAGCACCCCACAACGCCCCTTTCGGGTTCCCTATGACAGATTAATTCATTTAAATAAAGACTACGAGAAATTACGCGATTACCCTATTTTATTACATAATATTAAATGGCTATCTACATGATTTTATTCTATGTTGCGTGTATAAAATGATGAATAAAGCTAAATAAAGCAATAAAAGAGATATTAAAATAGCTATCTACATGATCCTATTCTACATGACATAATAAAGCTAAATAAAACAATAAAATAATAAATAAAACAATAAAAGAGAAGGGAATTGAAAAGAACCTCCGTAGCAAGCTTTATATTGAGAACCTCGAACTGTGAGGATGCGTTTTGGCAACCCCTCTCTCTACACAGTCTCTCCTCACCAATACAAGATCGACTCTACTAAAAATTTAAAGAAGAATCAAATGCCGGAATATAATTCCTTAACCGATTGTTACCTATTTAAGGCAATCGGAAAGATCATTCGAGAGAGAGAGAGAAGTAGACAAGTGCTCTAAAGTGTTTCAAAGCTCTCTGGAGTGTTTGTGGTGTGAAAAAGTGGCAAATGAGCCTCCTATTTATAGTTTTTCGCAGCTGGCGCACTTTGGGACGGCCGTCTGGGTTGGGACGGCCGTCTGGACTGGGATGGTCGTCCCAAATGGCAAATTTACACGAACGGGACCCCGGGAAGGCCGGGACGGCCGTCCCACTTAAGCCTGGGTTTGGGACGGCCGTCCCACATTCGGGACGCGCGTCCCAGCTGCTTAATTGCGGTTGGGACGGCCGTCCCACTTTGGGGACCGTGGTCCGGCACTGTTTTGTCCGGTTTTCGTGTTCCGGGACCCGGGAAGCTTTCCTTTCCTTTTCGGACATAGATTGATGCCGATGTGTGTCCGTTGAAGCTTTATCTTCATATAGGAAGTCTTCTTGGCCTTCATTAAGATGCCGGGCGAGCTTTGTCTTTGTGTAGGAAGTCTCTTTTGGCTTTTACCGTGTGAATGAGTGAACTCAGTCTTCTGTTGTGGGAGGTCCTTCTTGGTTTTTCTTTGATATGAAGCCGGGTGAACTGTATGAAGTTTCCCTAGCTTTTATTTGAGAGGCCGGGCAAAATTAGGGGTCTACATGGCCTACCTAACAGATGATAAGATTCTCGATTGATTGGATCGAATTTTGAAAAGTCTTTCTCAGTATTCAGAACAGTAGAGCTTTCGATCAAGACGTTCTCGCCTCCCCAGTTTGGGCTCTCGCTCGAATCGGAACCTTTATGCGTTGGTAGGCTTTTGACTCAATCGAATAGCTGGTGCCAATAAAAGAAAAAGTTTTCGCACGGGCTCATCATCTGATGCAGAACTTATTTCATAACCACCATCCATCACCAATCACATTCCACATCCCACTTCAAACTTATCGATTCCTCGGGTAGCCTCCTCTATAAAAGAAAGAAAGGCATTCCGGCTTCGGAGGCAGGTGAGTCGGGTCGATAAGGAGTTTGACTGCTGGTTTGGGGTCGGATCCTACTCGAAGCACTCCACCATGAATAAGAATCTTCGGGTTGGATAGGCGGTAGAGATAGGAACTCCTATCCGTAGGGCGGGCTTTCAAGACAGAGATGCACTACTCCATCCGGCTTGAAGACCTCGTGGGGAAAGATAAGAATCCCTTCTTTTTTCTTTTCTTTAATTGAATTGAATTTAAAGGTAATGACTGAAGGGAATAAAAAAGAAATAGAAAAAATCCCTTACCGTAGACGGGACTCTACGTCTGGGTCTTATTCCATCTTAAACTCGGATTAGGAAGAGTGCCCTTGAACTACGGAAAAATCATAATAAAACAAAAAAAGAAATGGATTCTCCTTACTTGTTAGAGTAAGCAAGTCAACTACCTGCCGGCGAGAAAAATAAAAAAAAGGCAAGGGGGAGATAGGGAAGAGGAGATTAAGGATAGTCACTCCGCTCCATAGATAGTGAACACAGATTCTTGTTTCATTTTCAATTCCTTTCAGGTCGAAAATGCGGGCGTGGGGCTGTGCCCATTCTTTCTCCCTCTTCTTCTGCTTAACAACCGGAATAAGCTTAGAATTCACCCGATTCGATGAAAAAATAGGATTTGAGAGGAGTGAAGCTGCTTGACCGAATAGGGCAAGGAGTGGCAGCTAGCGGATCAGAAAGATTTTGATGGAATGTCCTACTCCTACCCGAGCTTTCCGATCCACCAATCCCCTCTTCTTTTATAGTTTAGGGACATCTCTTTGTTAGGTAGGGCCAGGGATCACTAATTAGTAAAATGAGCCCATCCCTCTGGCCTATCATTTATTTATGGGTCGATCCGGCTGGCGGCTCCTGCATCTCCTGCGTCTCCATGGGGCCCCGTCATACAAGTTGCTAGGAGTCCCTCTAGTCGAATCAATAATCAATAGAAGTTGACTGACCTGGCTCTTCAATCGACGATCTACTATTCCCTCTTACTTGCAGATGCCCATGCTTTGATTCGCCCTAGCCAGTGTGAATCCCCAGTAAGATCGGAGTCTTTCATTCCTCCTCCCTTCAGTCCAGTTTAAACTCGTCCCAGCAACGAAGACCTTCCTACTGCAAGGTGAGGCTCTGCCCTTCCCCTAGAATCCACTCCAGGCTTTGAGGAATGGGAGCAGCTAGTCCAACTTCTGGAGCTGCTGAGATATTGAACAACGAACATTTGAGCAAGCTACCTTACCTCACCCCGAGATGAGAGGGAAGGTCGATTTGACTCGAATCTTGGACCCGATCTTTAATCCTACACCGGTTCTCGATGCGATGGGACAAGTTTTTTTTCATTTTGCTGGCCCGAGTCGAGGCTCGTCCATGCCCAATCCCAATGGACAAACCTCCGATCCGCCCCTAGCTCTATAATCCACCCGTCTTCCCCGGTCCCCGAAAGCCCTCCTATCCTTGGCCTAGCCCTCTTTCTCAACTCGAGTCTTAAGTTCAGCGGCTTTCATCATTGACGAAGACCTGCGCTAATAAGACAAAGAAGTGGGGAGTCTATGCCTTTTCATAAAACGAAAAGCTTTCAGTCCTTGAATGAATCAGTAACAACGAATTCGTGGAATGAGGGATTAAGCCCTATTATCTTAAACCTAGAGAGGGGAATGGCCTTTCCATTCTTGGTGGACCTTCCCTTGAATTGAACCGGTCACGGAGCTCTCAATTGAGTTGTCTAGGTTCTGGAATTCCATGGAGAGTTGGGGGTTTCGGTTCGAAGGTTATAAAATGTGGTGCGGGTTCATCTCTCTCGACCAGTTCAGGTTCAAGGGAAGGGTGATCGAGGGGACCCAGACTTTTGATCTCTTTCTTCTCTATTCTATGGCGGGAGGTTTCTTTCGTATCAAGAGTGTGGTGGGGAGGCCAGGGAAAGACGGATTGGATCGAGAGGCGATGCCTACTCTACTCGTTACCACTAAACGACGAAGAAATTGTTGCTTAAAGTATAATGCCCTATTAGCTTGAATAGTACTGCCCTATTATCTGGTATTATCTTATCTTATCTTATCCTAACTCACTATCTATGATATCCCGCTCTTTCATCTCCTTCTTTGAATCTTATAAATTTAATTAATTGACTTGAGCACAAGGAATGGGCTTCCGCCTGTAAGAATGCATTCCACTAGTTTTTCTTCATTGAAACTGGAGAAGGCACATCAACCGGAGTCAGAGCAGAGGAGAAGGCTAGGCAAAGACCCGCATCGAGCTTCCCCCGGGGCACAAGTTTAGAAGGAGAGGAACCCCTTTATTTCAATCAATAAGGAGTGTGAAGGAGCCGAAAAAGGCTGTTATTAAAACGTTGAGAGCTATAGGAAGGTTTCCATACTGGACTCCTATGGTTTCACCCTGTATACAAATAGCACTAGACTACTCATACTCATCTGAATCATAACTCTTAGTAACCCAAAAGAATTATTATATTATAACAGTCAAGAACTTCACACCGACCATTCTTATGTATTTCAATACTACCCCAGTGACAGTGAAACGCTCCCTACTCATAAAAGAAAGAATGAATTTTAGGTATACTAAAATGATGTGAATATTTGTCTTAATTCCTTTCATTTAAATAGTTACTATTGTCATATAAAGGAATGAGAATTTCATTAAAAAAAAGGTTGACAGATTCTTTGCAATCGATGCTAATGATAGAATCAACGTCTCTCCACTCAGAAATAACACCTGTGTATTCTCTTAACAGGCTACTAGCATTATACCCTAAATCCATCATTCCTACTTTCTTTAGCACAATTGACTATCATTGTGAAATTGTTTATGTTTAAAATAAAGCTCCAAGCATAAATTCATCAAATAGAAAGATTTTATTAGAAGACTTTTTTCTCATATTTGCCGGTAGACGAATTGTAATCTTCAAACAGTGGGGTTAAGTGGTAATCACCGCATCGAAGAGTCATTTCATCCCTGAGTCTCTGGCTGAGGGATATCTAGTTTAAGTGCTAGTTGCCATTGATCTTTGTAGACCCCTAATTTTGCCCGGCCTCTCAATAAAGGCTAAGGAGACTTCCTATAACAAGATAAAGCTCGCCCGACATCTCAATAAAGGCCAAGAAGACTTCCTATATGAAGATAAAGCTTCAATGGACGTCTATCGGCATCAATCGACGTCCGAATAAAGAAAGGAAAGCTTCCCGGAGGTCCCAGAACACAAAATCTGGCAAAAACAGTTGAGATGGCCGTCTCAGAAGTTGGGACGACCGTCCCACATGTCCAGACGACTGTCCCAAGTTCCAGACGGCCGTCCCAACTGGTTTTGGTGCTTGGGACGGCCGTCCCAACTTCTCCAGACGCTCATCCTTGATTTCCAAGCTCCAGACGACCGTCCCAAGCTGCCAGGCTACGAAAACTATAAATAGGAGGCACATTTGCCACTTTTCCAGACTCCAGACAACTCCAAACACTTGTCTTCTCTCCCTACTTCGAATGAACTCTTCGATTTCCTTAAAAAGGTAACAATCGGTTAAGGAATTGTATTCCAGCATTCGATTCTTCTTTAAAATTTAGTAGAGTCGATATTGTATTCGGGGAGGAGAGTCTTTGTAGAGCGGGGGATTGCCAAAACGCATCCTCACAATTCAAGATTTGTAATACAAAGCTTGCTACGGACGTTCTTTTCACTTCTCTTCTCTTTTACTGCTTTATTTATTGCTTTATGTATGCAATATAAAATAAAATCATGTAGAGAGCCATTTTTTAATATTCTGCAGTAAAATAGGGTAATAGTGTAATTTCTCATAATCTTTACTTAATGAATGAATCCATCATAGGGAACCCGAAAGGGGCGTTGTGGGGGTACTAACACCTTCCCCACACGTAACTAACTCCCTTACCCAACTCTGGTTATAATGTCCAAGTTGGTTTTTACTAAAATCAATGCCTTTTTATCCTTTTCCAATGTTTACAGTCAAAACATTGGTGGCGACTCCATAAGAACCCCTTTTCGAAAACATTGCCTTTATTAGAGGATAGTTCAGTTGTTGAGCACCTCGGAAGCAATGAACACATTTTAACATAAAAACGCGAGTCTAAACCATCTTTTCGCGACCGCTCGCATAAACGTTCAAGATGTCCCTAGACGTCGGAACAGACGGCGGCGACAGATGGTGACTCCACTGGGGAAGCTAGAGAGTTGATCCCATTTAGTGACGGATAAAATTCAAACAAAGTAAAGATTTGAAATTACGCCTTTACTCTCTTCAAAATGTTTATTGTATGGCTTTAATAACTGCTGTATGATTATTTTCTGCAAATTGTCTGAAATATAAATTGCAGACAAAAACCCTTGCACACAACAGTCCCTCTATACTCGGGGGCAAGAGTGAATACCTATAGGGAGTGGGTGGCAGATACGACCGGCTTGTTGGCACACGGGGCTACAACCATTGTCGAAAACCACCAACTCAAGGTGATAACTCTCTTCTTTTGGTCTAAGGATGTCGACACGGAGTTCCGTGCATGACCCGAGGACTGAGAGATTGAGAGGTCCCTATAATGGGGGCACCTTGGGGACCATTGGCCTTGGTGAGAACAGTTTAGAACCACCTAAACCAAACACGTTTCTGCAGGAAAACCCCACCTCGTAAATAGCGTGACTCTGCTCGTGGATGAATGAATTGTGTGTGCATTCGTTTGCTGCATTTGTATTGATGCATTAGCATAGGGTAATCATACAACAAACAAAATAGTGAAAAACCCTAAAAATCATAAAAGTGATAAGAATAAACCAACTTTATCTCGGACAGTCTTCAGTTAAGCTAGCCTGGTTTCAGGTTCTTTGTAAGCTAAGTAGCCTCGAGGGGTCAAACCATAACAAGCCCTTGCATATCTCAGTCAAATGCAAGGAGTACCTCATCGCCAAAGTTCTTGTGGATAACGGGTCATCCTTGAATGTGATGCCCAAGTGCACACTGGACAAGCTGACTATCCAAGGAACCCGTCTGCGCCCAAGCAGCACCATCGTTCGAGCCTTCGACGGATCCAAACGAGAAGTAGTGGGAGAAGTTAACTTGCCAATTCAAGTTGGGCCCACTATCTTCAACGTCGATTTCCATGTAATGGATATTACTCCAGCATATAGCTGTCTCCTCGGCAGGCCTTGGATTCATGACACCAAGGTAGTACCTTCAACGCTCCACCAGAAAGTAAAGTTCATAGTGGATGACAAATTGGTCACGGTCCGAGCAGAAGATGATATCCTGATCAGTGGACCGTCCACCCAGCCTTATGTGGATGCGGCTGAAGAGGCCCTTGAAACATCTTTTCAAGCACTCGAAATTGCCAGCGTAGAGCGACTTCCCAAAGACACAAAGGTAGCCCGCATGATGTTGAAGCATGGTTACCATCCTGGCCAAGGATTGGGGGCAGATTCCCAAGGTATGAGGGAACCCCCAGAATTCAAAGATAATCCTTGCAAGTATGACCCTACTAAGGGTCGGGCAGAAAGAAGAAAAGGGAAGTCTCCCCTCCGCACACTCAAGCAAATTTTCCGAAGTGGAGGGGTGCAAGCGTCAAGAGCCACCTTAGTCATTAGGAGAACTTTTTCTTCATTTAAGGGATGGAAACCCCATGATTGTTAGAGATTATCCCCCGGGGCTAGCCCGACCCCCGGGCTTTTTAGGGCACGTATTCCCTTATTAATTAATAAAGAATGATTCTTACAATTTGCTTCTCTTCTCTCTATTTTTGACTAGACCTCATGAATAACCCTGTCTAAGTAAACAAAAAAAGAAGAAGAATAAAAAGCGCATTCAAATAATCAACATTTACCATTGCTATTATCGTCAAGCTAGTTGATTAGAAGCACATAAAAATAAGACTTCACCTCATCCATAAAGAAAGTCATGCTTCGCCAATATTGTGAATAACAATAAATACAAAAAAAAAAGAGAGAAAAGCCCAGAGATGCCAAAGGCCAAAGAAAAGGGCAAATAACCCGGTAGGAAACCCACTAAGGGGGCTACACAAAAGATAGGGTCGACCCGGTAGGATACCCGAACGACAATAAAGGGTAGCCTAGGCAAAAGTTAGGGTTACAAAATAAGGTCCGCTAGGATTCTCCCAAAATTAAAAAAAGAAGGAACCTAGACAAAAGATAGGGCCAAAACACAGTATCCTAGTTCGAAAACCCAAAGGGCGATCTAGGGAGGTCAGCTAGCCATAAAAAGCAATAGGAATAAAACCAAAAGGTGCAAGTACAAAAAAAAGAAAGGAAGTTGTTTGCTTAGACAAAATCTTAAAACACCTAAGCCTAACCCTAAGCCAGCCATGCTTACAAAAACCACTTTCTAAATAAAAATCAACCTTCTAAAACACAAGCTATTGAATTTTACCTCTTTACTTCTCTTCTCTTAACCCTCACAACAATATTCTAATAATTAATTTGGGAATATGGAGGCGTATAGTCAACAAGAGGATTGAAATCCCTAAAGTGAGGAAAAAGGGGCACTACATGACAAAGAATGCTCTACAAAAGAAAAAAAGAAAAAAGAGGAAAGAAAAGAGGAAAAACAAAATGACTCTTCGGTCACAAAAAGTCCGGCATAGTACAACAAAGTACGAAAGCACAGATTAGAGGGCACTCGGTGCTACAAGACACGTCGGTTAAATCCTTCTGAAAATTTAATCAAAGTAGGCATTATAGGACATCAAACATGAAAACATTGCATGCATAAAATGTTTTTGAACTAGGTCCTATTTCCTTTCTAAAAAAAAAAAAAAAACCTGAAATTCGAGACCGCTGTCTGGATCTTCCAGACCGCCGTCTCGGTCCACCAGCAAGGCGAGAACGCCGTCTCGCTTAAGCCAAGAACGAGACCGCCGTCTCGATGATCCAGACCGCCGTCTCGACTTCTAGGGGACTCGAGACCACCGTCTCGCCTTCCCGGATGGCGGTCTCGAATTTGAAAAATTCCCTATATATAGGGGGCGCGCTTGGGGGGTTCCTCACAACTCTCCTTGCCTCCAGAACCCCCATTTCCCAGATCTTGCACTCACAAAGCACTTCCTAGTCAATATGTTTGGTAGAAGCGCCTCCAGGAAGAGAAGGAGCACTGCCGGGGCCAGCAGTTCTGCGACACCGCCACCCCAGGACCCCTCTCAGCTGTCACCACAACACCAAGCCCGCCTGGAGAACATCCGGACTTATCCGTGGCACCCGATGCTCAGGCTCGACTTCAGCATCCTGGCTGAATTTGGGTGGGAGGATGACGTCCGAACCCACATAGACAGCATCGGGTGGGGCTTTCTGCTGCAACCTCCACCGACACATGTGTACCCACACACGGTACTCGAGTTCCTGGCCTCCGTTTTCTACGCTGAGGTCCCCTCCATGGTCCCGGGTCTGCAGCCCACCAAGATGGTAACCTATTTTATGGGTGGGGAATACCAGACTACCACCCTCGACGAATTCAATGTGGGCATTGGATTTGTCCGACCCAAGGACGTATTAACTCGGGGATACCGCGAGGCCATCTGCTCTCGGCCCGCCAACCTCACCGCCTCCGAAATGTGGCACGAGCTCACAGGGGCAACCACGCTGCCCACACTGATGAGGGGCTCCACGCTTCCCCCAGCACTCCGCATCTGCCACAAGCTGCATGTGGGCACCATCCACGGGAGGAAGGAGAGTCAGGGTAAGACAACTCTCCCTGACCTCTTTATACTTTATTGCATGAGCAAGAGGCGGCGTTGCAACCCTGGCTATTTCTTCCTGAGGGCCCTCAAGGACTTCGGGAACAGATCAACAGGGACCGTCCTCATGGCTCCTCTTATCACTCCCCTGGCAGAAAGATGGGGGTGCCCCGGCCGGGAAGAGATGGCCTCCAAATTACAACCCGAATCCATCAACGGGTCAGTCTTGGTCAGCATGGGAATGCTGATCCGCCGTGGGACCGAGTTGGCCCTTCATCCTTCACTGGATTTCGCACTAGACCTCCAGGGGCTCATGGCGATGCAGGATATCCCCACACCTCCCGAATTCCAGCAGCAGCAGCAACAACAACAACCACCACCGTACACGGACGATTTTGCCGGCATGAACCGCAACGTGAGCGATCTGCGCCGGCAGCTCGACCAGATGACGGTGCGGCAAGAAGCCTACCACACTCAGCAGGAGGAGATGTATCAGCATCAGCAGGTGATGCGGCAAGAATGGACAACATTCCAGCAAGAATACCGCGACGAAGTCTGAGAGAAAGCGGACTTCCAGTATCACCTCTACCAGCAATTCGCCCGCGGATCATCTCCAGATGATAGCCCTTAGGGATTGTACTTGCCAAAATAAAAAAGTGGTTGTAATAAAATTTCCCTATAAATAAAATTTTATTTCATGCATCTCTTTGCCACCTTTTGCAAAAGCCAGCATAATAAAAAGAGACTAAAAGAAAAAAGGCATACGCTCAATAAGAAAATCCAAAATTCGAAATCGCAAGAAAAAAGAGATAGAACCGCGAGGAAAAGGCTGGATTAAAGACAAGTCACTCACCTTGATCAACAAAACTTCAACTACCAAGTAAAAGTCGAACAAAAACAAAGATAACCCGACCAATCGGCAAGAGTCGGATGATCACCACAAGGGTCAAAGACAAAGAGTCCCCAGCAACCAACAAAGCTAGATGAAACACAAAATCCCCGGCACTACCCGGAAGACCACTCAAAGAGGTCCAAGTACATCTACCAACCCAGAAATCACTCCCCAAGGAGTGCCCAACCGGCACATGAGCGATTGAGCAGTAAGCCGCCACTACCACCAGTCCTACGCAGTGGACTGTACCAGCCAGATAGGGGGTTCATACCTATCAACCAGCACACAAGGAGTGCCCAACCGGTGCATGAGCCACCCGAGCAGTAAGCCGCCACCACCACAAGTCCTACGCAGTGGACTGTACCAGCCTGATAGGGGGTTCATACCTATCAACCTGCGCACACACTGCGCCTGATCTGCGCTCGAGCCGGATCAGTAATTCGCACTACCAGCCTGATGGGGGGGTTCATACCCATCCAGTCCCGCACAACGGACTGCAACTACCAGCCTGATGGAGGATTCATACCCATCCAGTCCCGCACAACAGACTACAACTATCAGCCTGATGGGGGGTTCATACCCATCCAGTCCCACACAACGGACTGCAACTACCAGCCTGATGGGGGGTTTATACCCATCAACCGAAGGATCGGCTACCGTCAGAAGGAGTATCCTGAGGTTCTACCACATGTTAACCAAAGGGATCAGCTACGTCAGAAGTAGTATCCTAGAGGTGCACAACACAACATTTTCCCCAGAAGATCAATCATCGCAAGACGGAGCATCTGAAGGGTGACCGGGCAAGTGGGTCAACCCCTTTACCTTCCTGTCAATCTGTCTGGCACAACAGGCCAACAGCCGACTAGTCAGGTAAAGGGGGGGCAGCTGTAGACCCCAAATCTTGCCCGGCCTCCAAATAAAGAGTAAAAAACCTCCTATTCGAAGATGGAAGAAGCCTAACAAGCCACTAGGAGAGACTACTAGGCCCCGTACTAGGATAGGAGGGATTTTCGGCACGAAAATAAGGTTTCTTGCCTTTTAGGGGACGAGACCGTCGTCTCGAAATCGAGACCGCCGTCTCGTTTGGCGAGACGGCGGTCTCGCCACCTGCGAAGGCGAGACGGCGGTCTCGTTTGATGAGACGGCAGTCTCGCCATTTTGGCATGGCGAGACGGCAGTCTCGTTTGACGAGACCAGGGTCTCGACCCTGTCAGACGAGACGGCGGTCTCGACCTGTCAGGCGCGAAAAACTATAAATAGGGGCCTCCATTCCCTCATTTCCACACAGTTTCTCCTCCTTCTCTCTAGACTTTCTCTCTCTAGAACCCCTCCGAAGCATTTCTGGAGTTTCTCAGCGTCTCTAAGAGTATTTTTGAGCATTTCGAGAGGTTTACGAAGCTGTGTATAGTGAAGGGCTGCCAAAAAGCACCCAAGTCATCAAAAATTAAATAGAAAAGCTAGCCTCGAAGGTTTCTACACTCTCTCTCTCTACTTTACTGCTTTAATCGTCATTATGCAATAGAAGCTAGGGCCATGTAGTCATAATTTTAATTCCGCAAATAAAAGGGCAAAAGAGTAATTTTCACCGGTTTAAATATTTTTAAATAGCTGGCCTATCATAGGGAACATGAAAGGGGCGTCGTAAAGGAACTAATACTTCCTTTACACGTAACTAACTCCCTTACCCAACTCTGGTTCTAATGACCCAAGTTTGTTTTTCGAAAACCAACGCCTTTTAATCCCTTTTCCGATGTTTCTGGTAAAAACATCGGTGGCGACTCCACAGAACCTTTCCAAACTAGCTTTTGCATTAGCCCGGTTATCGGACAATCCAAGAGCGCCTTTTCGAAAACCTCGCCTCTAGGTTCAACCTGGTTATCGGAAAACCTAAAGGCGTTGTAACCACCAACAAAAAACGCGAAAATTAGAGGGTCGAAACCATCGCGTCGCTCCGACCGCCTCTTCTTTTTGACGGCGGCGACACTACTCCTAGCTACTAGTAGGTCGCTCACTCTCTTTAGAGTAAATGGTTGACTCTAACACTCGAAATAAAAGAAGAGGAGAGATTCAAACAACCAGTAGCCATCGAAGCGAGATCAGAGTCTCCAAGTCACAGTCCACGCTCGAGATACAGAAACAGAGCAACCCACTATCGAACCTATAGACAGGACAGTTGAAGTGAAAGGAAAGGGGACTTTTTCTTTTCTTTTATAAGACTACGAGACTTGGTCAAAGACTAGGAGAGCGAGTCAAGACACTCTCTTCTTCCTCTCCTTATATAAAAAAAGGAGAAAGGCAAAGAAATGAAGTAAGACAAACTGAAGGACAGACAGAGCCAAGCTCAATTCATTGTTACAGGGTGCCACGCGCTGATAAAAGCACAAGACGCACAAACAAAGCAGCAAGGATGAGGAAAGGACAAGAACGAGAACATCGAAGCAAAATTATATATATATATATATATATAGTAATCTTAATTGCTCTTTTTTCTTTCCTTTCGAAAGTTGAATTCAATAAACAACAATTAAAAAAAAACCTGAATGAATAAAGTTATGACAAATTATGGGGTGGAAAGAATAGCGGTTTGTGATCGAAGACACTGTACGATATAGACAGCCGTCAAACATAAACTACTGCGAAGGATATAATTTAGCATAAATTTTTTTTCATGCTTTCTTTTTTTTTTAGTTTTAATGCAGTCCTTCTTTTGTGTAGAACATTGGACTGGGAAAAATGGACCAGGAAAAATAGACCGGACTATACCCTGGTCCCTCGGGTCCAATGGGTGCACCTGACTGTCCCCAGTTCAGTTGGAACAGAAATCACCAACATTCATAGGTGGGAAGCTGGACTGAGGTCTCCCTATTTGACTATGGTAATCATGTGCACGACCTAAGGGAATTTTTCAATTCAAATAGCTCCCTTGGAAGTGTTGGTGCACTTTCACATGGGCCATGCCATGGGGTAATATCATTGGTATTGGATGCATCGTTATGTTGTGCCGAGTCAAATCAGCTCCATTTTATTCCGTTGCAGAAAGGAGATCCCTTCCCCCCGCTTTCAAAAATGATGAAGATGAAGTCCGCGGGGCTGCAGGTACTATGGATCCTCTGACTCCCAATCAGGTAGCCTTCCCAAGTCTCGCCGGTCTTGCCTGTAGGTCATGATGTGCCTCAAGATGGCCGTCTCCTGTCCCCCTGCCGGTGGGGAATCCGCTCCTGGGTCGTCACTTGCGTCTTATGGCCCGTCCTCTAGGCACCTTTTGAAGGTAGGGAGTGTGACAACGTACACGCTTCCCTTTACTCCACTCCATAGGCCTTGTCATCAGTTGCAGGGTTTGGTGGCCCAAAATTGACTTGGCTTCACCAAAAGCCCTCATCTCTAGAAGCCCGGCTCGTGAGGCGTCCCTCTCGCAGTAGGGTTCCAAACATCGCCTCGCTCTTGTGACATGCTATCTTTCCCCTCTTCATTCCCACATAAAGGGTGAGTCCCATGCTTTTGTGGATCGCGGTCTCATGCACTAATCCCTACAGGTGCCCGTAGTAGGCCGACCGCCCTACCTAAACCAATCACATATCGGTCCCTAGGCCCCATTGCTGGAAAGTGAAAGTGATACTAGCATAGATCTCAGTGATTTGATGAAGTCAAAGATAAAGTCAAAGGTCAACTCTGCAACAGTCAACAAGTCACTCAGAAGAATGGAGCTGAAGACTTAGTGTGTCTTAACAGAAAGCTTAGGTAAAACCACTTTACCTTTTCCATCGCATAAAGCTTCTTCATTCATTTTGCAAAATGCCTCAAAAATAGTTTTAAACAAATCAAACAAAAGCATTTTGACAAAGAACTTTCTTAACAATGTTTTTAACTGATATAGTTTTAAAAGAAACAATTAAAATCACTTAGAATGCGTAAAGAAGTGTTTTTACAGTATTTTAATCGATACAAACTTCTTTTAATCGATTAAAACCCTTTATGACCAATTAGAATTTGAATATGACAGGTCAAAATGAAATATAATCGATCAGACTTTAAAAATGAGCGATCAGATTTATTTTAATCGATTAAAACACGTTTTAATCGACTAAAACCACTTTGGAAGTCAGGATGATCGATCAGAATGAAATTATGACCGATCAGAGTTGGTTATGATCGATCAAAATTGAATTATGACCAATCAGACTTATTTCAATCGATTAAAACGAACTTTCAATCGATTAAAAAGACTTGAAAATTTATGTGCAGATTTTCAATCGATTAAAACGCATTTCAATCGATTAAAATAGCTTGGAAAATTTTTGTACAGAGTTTCAATCGATTAAAACGTATTTCAACCGATTAAAACAACTTGGAAAAATTCTGTGCAGGTTTTTAATCGATTAAAACTTCTTTGTATCAGTTAAAATAACTTGAAAAGTTTTATAAGAAAGTTTTAAAGTAAATCAATCGATTAAAACACGAATCAATCGATTGAATCACACTTAGAAAATGTTTGTAAAATGTTTTAACTGATATAAACATAGTTGTATCAACTAAAACGATTCTGTTAAAGAAACAAGAACGCATTAATGGGTTGAAAGGACTTTTAACAGATTATAACGGCTATTTCAACAGATTAAAACAAACTTTCAACAGATTAATTAATGCAGCAGATTTGAAAATTCTCTTTAAAAACAGTTTTGCTTGAAACTTTTAAACAGAAATTGAACATAAGTTTTCATACATCCAAAGCAATCAATTCAAGCAACTGTTAAGCATCCTTTTCCAAGAAAGAATTACAACTGTTTTGTGAACTTCTTTTGAAATCTTTCTTGAGGCACTTTTGCATTCTTTGAAGGAGGAACTTACAGTGGATAAGCGTAATCCGGTTTGAGCTTTCTAAGTTTCTTCTTTTCAATTGCTATTCATTCTTTTGTACTGTTTTGTACCTGGAATTTGGGTACAAGTTTTCTGCAGCTGGTAGGTGGTTGTAGAAGTTTCCAAGAACTGGAATTTGGTTCTTGGTGGAGAGGTTAAGTGCAGGAACTGGAATTTGGTTCTTGTACTGTGTGGTGCCTGGAATTTGGGTACTGGTTTCTCTGCAGCTGGAATTTGGTTGCAGAGGTTATCAAGAGCTGGAATTTGGTTCTTGGTGGAGAGGTTAAGTGCAGGAACTGGAATTTGGTTCTTGTACTGTGTGGTGCCTGGAATTTGGGTACTGGTTTCTCTGCGGCTGGAATTTGGTTGCAGAGGTTTCCAAGAACTGGAATTTGGTTCTTGGTGGAAAGGTTAAAGTCAGGAACTGGAAATTGGTTCTGGTGTTAGAGTAGGTGTAAGATTGTTGAGTCTGTAAAACATCTATTCTAGTGGAACCCAGCTGGAATTTGGCTGGAGACTGGACGTAGCCCTGGTATTGGGTGAACCAGTATAAAATTACCGGTGAAATCTTTCCTAACCTTTCTCTCTTTAAATTCAGTTGTTGCGCTTGTATTGTTTAATTGCTTTGTGATTCGTGAATTGATTAGTAAACTTAATTTTCGAATTAGATAATCTGTTTATTGTGAAAAACTTTCAAAAATCAATTCACCCCCCCTCTTGATTTAAAACTACTTTTCTAACAGAAAGGCTCGGCTTCAAAACCGTACGTGGAGCTTCCGCCTCATACGGCTCCTCTAGGGATGGAGGTAGGCCCAGCCCAAGCTTGTGCGGTTAAGGTTGTTGTACCTCTTTTTTTTAGCAGTTCGATTATACTTTTGTTTTGAAAAAGGGGCCAGAAAGCCCCTTCGACGCAAGTTCTCTCATGACGCGAGAGATCCTTTCGAGGTCACCAAAGGTGCTCGTTAAGGGCCCATACATCTCCTCGAAGACAGTATTTACGGCCCAATTCCACCGAGAGGAATGTTCTAAAAAAAGAACATTCCTCTCGATTCCACCAGATTCGGCAAAAACTGCAATCAATAAGAATCTCTCGTAGACTCGAGAGAGCATTCGTTCAGAACGCGGACGAAAGAGTTTTTTTAGATGATGACGGTTCTCATCATCGTCTCCTTCGCCCGATCCCGATGCCCCGCCTGTAGTGCTTGACAGCTGTTTACGGATTTTGGCCGAAGGCGAGGCCCGTTCCATCTTACGAATAAAAATCAAAAGAAAGTAAGACCAAACCGAGAGTGAGCAGCATAAACAAGGAGGGATTTGTGAATGAGAAATACAAGTCACCTATCTTCATATCCATCAATGGGATTACCTCAAATTGAGAAAGAGGACTGTTCATGGAGTCCCCTGCATCACAAGGTGCAATCGTGCTCAAATTCATAAGACTATTGCTAGTGCTAGGGGTCGTCTGCGCTATATCTAGATAATGGGAGGCCTCCTGAAAGCTCTCACTAGCTATTCCGTTCTCCTTCAAATCTATTAATGTTAAAGAGTCTTCGAGAAACGAAATATCGGCGCTCTCCGCATGTACAGATTCGGCCGCCGCCTGAATATTATGCTCACCTCCTTCACCTCCATCGTCATCGTCATCCTTTTTATTTGCTTCCTGTTGTTGGGCTTGTGGTGAAGGAAAAGTTTCAAGTACCTACTTATTCCACTCCCATTCCCACCGGAAGCGCACCCTTCCTTCCCTTAAGCCTCCTTCCGTTAAGTTAGTCAAAAGGTGGTAGGTGTGGCTCTGATTTTGGATAGTGTTCCACACGTACAACCCGAGTAGGGTGAGGACCACTAAGACTAATAGACTTAGAGATGTATAGATGATGTATCGATTCTTTTCCAAAAATTGGAAGAATTTATCCATATAAAGAAAGTAAAGAAAGCTTTCTTGTAGTTCCGCTTCTTTTCTTGCTCTAGAAAAAAGGAAGAAAGACTTGTTTGTTGTAAATCGCTGGTTGGGTTTACCAACCAAGAATGAAAGACATGGGAAAAGAAGGGTGCACACAGGAAACAGGAAAGCCTTTCTCGGGATCAATATCAACTACCCGCTCTAAGAAATATATATATAATTTTAGAAAGACCTAGCTAAGAGACTTTACTGAATGACTTGATCGATCGTACCGTACTAGATAGAAATCCTTTCATTTCATACGCAATTTTTGATCCAATCTCGCACTTGGTCCGATCCTCTTTCTTGATGGTCTTAAACCCGAGGTCCGACGTGATGTCATCTCCCAGCCTCCTACTTCCTTGGTACGAGCCGCATCACCGGCTCTGTTCAATTGACGAGCGCTACCGTTACGTAGTTCGGTTGCATGATAAAAACCAATGGTGCCTTCCTCATCGATGCGAACATCTCCGTCCAATTCATCTTCTCCTTCACTTATGTCAACTAAATCTGCATTGCCGCCTCTCCTTCCGTCTCCTCCAACTAAGCCTCTGCCACCAGTGAAGAAATTGTCGGCAACAGAAATGCAACTACGACGGGAAAAGGGGTTGTGCTTTACTTGCGACGATAAATTTTTGTGGAAGCATGTCCGAATCGCCTATACATACATGATTCTGCAGGTGGATGAACCGAATGGCGATGTTTCCTCCTCCGTTGTCGCCGAACCTGTTCCACCGGATCTTCCGTCGGATGATTCTCCAACTTTGCATCATTTGTCATTACAAGCTTATCATGGCACTTATGGCAAATGTACTATCTACTTTTCCGGGCCGATTGCAGTGCACCACCGTGCGCATTCTTCTCGATGGTGGCAGTTCTGACAACTTCATTCAGATGGAGAAGATTCCGAAAAGGAAATCTCAATCCAATCGTTGGGTGAATAACGAGTGGGACCGATTGGATCCAACTGCGACCCATATTGGTAAATGTTCAGCTGATGCTTCATAAAAAAATTAGATAGCCATCACTCTAGCACACCGCTTGCCTATTCCGACTAAGCAGCCCGGTGTGCATAAGCAAAACAAACCAGAACGCCTCAAATAACAACATTCTAGTTGAAAGAGAGGAGGTAAGGGTTGTCCTTACAAATGAAATGGGAATGGGGAAACTTTTTCATTCAGCACGGTGGATAGCCTATTGATTTATTTATTGATTTATTAAGGTTAAGGTAAGGAGCAAAGCGCTGCTCACGTTAAAGCTATTGTGTTGACTGTAACTACACTACGATAATTTTCATTGAGCTCCCAAAACAAAAGCAATTCTAGCACAAGAGCCATAGAACCTTTTCTTATTCTTATTCTTAAAAAGGAGAAGTCAAGAGCAGGGTTTTCAGCTCATAGAGGTTGGCCCTAGCTCAAAAGGAAGAGTTAGCTTATCTAGACCGGGCTTTGAGGAATTTCTCCCGAACAAAAGGGGCACAGCACATCTATAGGCCTTTCCACAATCCCTCTTCATGTTCTTTTTCAAAGATTTGAGGCGCCCTATCTGGTCTAGCATAGCGTCTCCCGCCCCCCAAAAGCGGGGGCTCAGTGAAGCGGTTCCTTCCTCTCATGCTTAGGAATTTACAAGGAAATAGATCAAATGACCAAGTTGCAAGACTGGGAATGAGCTTTACAACCTGGTTCCCAGTTCTTGAAGGGAGGGGAAGATCCCGCTACAGATCTAATTGCCTTGCCTACAACAGATCAGGGGGCTATGGCTTTGAACGGCTCTAGCTAAAGTTCTCTTACCGGAAGGCGTGAACCCGAGAGGTGATCTCGGGGTAGCTCTGAATAGAGATCCATCCCAACCGGGGTTAGGAAGCTACCATTCTAACATAAAGGGAGACCTAGTTGCTAACTTAACCTTAAGGAGCTTTGCAACACTCCTTTCTTTTCTCAATTAGGGGATGCTAAAGTAGTTGAGACCCCAGAGGAGAGGAAAGCACTGCAATCAGTCCTAAACTAAAGAAAGGTAGATGCCACTTCATTCCTTTCTTTTCTTATAAGAGTGTTAGTGCACAGAATCTCAAGGCAATTGCACCTTAGATCAAGAAGTTTTCGCTTCCTCGTTTGAGCTGCTCCAAAACTTTTCAATCCAAACACAACTTTGAAGTCGACTTGACTTGCTTCTTTCTCTTGTTCTAACGCTACTCTTCCGTCCCTGATGAAGAACGTTTTTTTCTCCTTACCTTAGATGAATAAATAAATAGGGCGGAGTCCAGGTTTGAAGTTTGTGTGTTGAAGACAGGAGAGATCAAATCGAAAGGGGCTGTGCTTTTCACACCATTCCATTATATGTCGGTTGTATTCAACTCATTCTCTCGGCTCCGGCTACCTACCGTGGTTTCCCGAATTCCTCACCTCGGATCTCGCTAAGACAGCTCATCTTGGATTGAGAGATGAAATCCTTCCCAACCTCGAGATTCTTAATATAATATATAATATAATAATAATAGTAGGCTACATGCTTCTTGCCTCGTTCGTGATCCATAGAGGAGAATGGAATGGGATCTCGAATCCATTAAGATGGTCGGTGTATGTTCTTTCTTGTCGATTGGTCGTGAAGAGGGATTGCCTATCTAATGAAGGTCGATCGGAGTTCCCGCGCTTCAAGTTTCTTTCATACGGACATACATCAAGCTCTTCTTTGGGAAGACCATCGAGGATGACTAGCCTTCATTGCCTAGCAGCTCATCTCCAGCTCTCTCTTTCTCCTCCCTAACACCCTACTCTTTCCTTGTGCTTTGATGCGGATCTCAGGTAGAAATTTCATAAGAGAAGAAGAATCCAATCCCTAAAGCTATTCCGGTACTATCGCCATTACCGCTGTAGGATTTTTCCTTGCCCTAAGACTCGATCGAAGAATATGGCATCAAGCCCGAATTAATCCTACTTCTATGAGCAGACGATCATCGAAAACTTTCAACATCATGCCTTTTTTTGTTTTTGCGGCTGTTACTATTTCCGGTGAAGAGTAGCTTTCCCTGTTTGTTATAGTAAGCAATTCTAGGCCCCCCTGGCATAAGCAAGTCATTTTATCCGTTCCCCATCCCCATGGGTTACTTCACTCATACGAAGGCTGGTTAAGAAGGATAGCTTATTCATTTAAGATAATACAATATCATAAAGCAAGGACCTCTTATCTCTAACTCAGTCCAAAAGACTGGAATACAAATTCGATCAATCGCTTAGATGGCGCCTGTCGCTGCCGTCCGTTCCGACGTCTAGGGACATCTCGAACGTTTATGCGAGCGGTCGCGAAAAGATGGTTTAGACTCGCATTTTATGTTAAAATATGTTCATTGCTTCTGAGGTGCTCAACAACTGAACTATCCTCTAATAAAAGCAAGGTTTTCGAAAAGGAGTTCTTATGGAGTCACCACCAATGTTTTTTACCATAAACATTGGAAAAGGATAAAAAGGCTTTGATTTTAATAAAAACCAAACTTGGCCATTATAACCAGAGTTAGGTAAGGGAGTTAGTTACGTGTGGGGAAGGTGTTAGCACCCCACAACGCCCCTTTCGGGTTCCCTATGACGGATTCATTCATTAAGTGAAGATTACGAGAAATTACCCTATTACCCTATTTTATTTATACCATATTCAAAAACGGATATCTACATGATTTTATTTTATATTGCATACATAAGGCAATAAATAAAGCAATAAAAGAGAAGAGAATTGAAAAGAACCTTTGTAGCAAGCTTTGTATTGCAAATCTTTAACTGTGAGGATGCGTTTTGGCAATCCCCCGCTCTACAAAGACTCTCCTCCCCGAATACAATATCGACTCTACTAAATTTTTAAAGAAGAATCAAATGCTGGAATACAATTCCTTAACCGATTGTTACCTTTTTAAGGCAATCAGAGAGTTCATTAGAAGTAGGGAGAGAAGACAAGTACTTGGAGTAGTCTGGGGTCTGAAAAAGTGGCAAATGAGCCTCCTATTTATTGTTTTCACAGCCTGGCAGCTTGGGACGGCCGTCCGGGGCTTGGAAATCAAGGATGAGCGTCTGGAGAAGTTGGGACTGCCGTCTGGATTTGGGACGGCCGTCCCATTCAAATTTTGGCATTGAGACGAGCGTCTCAAACTTGGGACGGGCGTCCCACTTGAAAATGGTTGTTTGGGACGACCGTCTCGCCCTTGGGACGACTGTCTCAACTGTTTCTGCCAGATTTTGTGTTCTGGGACCCCCGGGAAGCTTTCCTTTCTTTATTCGGACGTCGATTGATGCCGATAGACGTCCATTGAAGCTTTATCTTCATATAAGAAGTCTCCTTGGCCTTTATTGAGATGTCGGGCGAGCTTTATCTTGTTATAGGAAGTCTCTTTAGCCTTTATTGAGAAGCCGGGCAAAATTAGGGGTCTACAGCTGCCCCCCCTTCACCTGCCTGACTAATTGTTGGCCTAATATGCCGACAAAATTAGTTGGTAGGGGAAGGAGTTAACCCTTTTTGCCCGGTTATCCTTCAGATGCTCCTTCGCTTGAAGTTTGCTGATCCTACGGATGATAAATATTTTTGATAGGTACCAACCCCTATCTGGTTTGAGCCTTACTTTATAAGGCTATGGTGAGTACTTACCCTCACCAGGTATGAGTCTGCATTTCACTAGAATCTTGTGGGTACCTACCCCCACTAGGTATGAATCTACTTTTTGCTAGATTCTGAACCATATTCCATAAGGTTCTCTTGGGTACCTACCCCCACTTGGTATGAACCTTGTTCTGCAAGGCTTTGGTGAGTACTTACCCTCACCTGGTACGAGTTCGCATTTTTCTAAACTCTTGTGGGTACTTACTTCCAAGGTGCTCAACACTTGAACTATCCTCTAATAGAAGCAAGGTATTTGAAACCCGTTTTTGTAATGCTCTGGTGAGTATTTTACTCTACCTGATGCATTTTGCTAGGTTTTGATGAGTACCTATCCTCATCTGGTACAAACCTTATTTTATAATGCTTTGGTGGGTACCTACCCCCACCTGGTACGAATCTGCATTTTTGCTAGATTCTGATCAGTACCTACCCTCATCCGGTACAGACCTTATTTTATAAGGCTCTGGTGGGTACCTACCCCCACCTGGTACAAATATGCATTTTTGCTAGATTCTGATGAGTACCTACCCTCATCCGGTACAAACCTTATTTTATAAGGCTTTTACTGGTACGAACCCTATTCTATAAGGCTCTGGTGAGTACCTACCCTCACTCGGTACGAACGCTATTCTATAAGGCTCTTGTGGGTACCTACCCCCACCTGGTACGAACTCTATTCTATAAGGCTCTTGTGGGTACCTACCCCACCTGGCACGAACCCTATTCTAATAGGCGCTTGTGGGTACCTACCCCCAGCTGGTACGAACCCTATTCTATAAGGCTCCGGTGAGTACCTACCCTCACCCGGTACGAACCCTATTCTATAAGGCTCTTGTGGGTACCTACCCCCACCTGGTACGAACCCTATTCTATAAGGCTCTGGTGAGTGCCTACCCTCACCCGGTACGAACCCTATTCTATAAGGCTCTTGGGATGCTCTTTTTTGGCATTTAGTCTTTTGATTGATGAGTACAAACCCTCATCCGGTTTTTGGAGATGTGTTGGCGGCTTATTGTCTCTGATCATGCGCCTATTCCGTGGGGAGTCATTGATCTTTCTTTTTTACTTTTCTGTTTTAATCATCCGGTTTTACCAGGGATTCTTTGTTTTTTTGGCTTTTTTCATTTTAGCCATCCGGTCTTGCTGGGGATTCTTTGTTTTTGGCCTTTCTTTTAGCCATCCGGTCTTGCCGGGGATTCTTTGTTTTTGGCTTTTCTTTTAGCCATCCGGTCTTGCCGGGGATTCTTTGTTTTTGGCTTTTCTTTTTAGTCATCCGGTCTTGCCGGGGATTTCTTTGTTGAGCGCCTCTTGCTTTAGGCAGGAATCTCCTAGGGATTTGTGGTTTCGGGCTTTTTCTTATTTGCTGGATAAAGAGATTTATTTTTTCTCTTTTCTTTTTGGCAATCCCGTGGAGTTTATTGGCTTCCTGGGGATCCAATCTTTGATTTGATTTTTTATGATGGAGTCTTGAGCTCCTGACTTTGTGAGGCTCTTTATTGAGCGGAATGAAGAAATTTTCTTCTTTTTCTCTTTTTTGGAGATTCACCAAGGAGTTTGTCAGCTTCCTGGGATCCAACTTTGATGATGGAGTCTTGGCTCCTGACTTTTGTGAAGCTCTTTATTGAGCGGGATGATGGAAATTTTCTTGTTTTCCTCTTTTTGTAGACTTTTCTTGATATGTTCTACTTGGAGATTTTTTATTCGGCCTTTTTTGTGCCTCTATTGGGGAATGAAAGTTTTTCTTTTCTTTCTTTTTGTTGCCCCCTAGAGATATGGAAGATTTGACTCCGTATTTTCTTTGATGGACTCTTGTGTAGTCCTTATTCTCCTTTGGGGAATGAGGCGGAGATTCTTGCATGAGTGTGCTTGATGACTCATGTGGTGATGCCGCTGAGTCGCGAGGTAATCTTTTTGTTTTGCCTCTGGAGTAGGCAAGGATCTGCTTGGGGATGATCGAGCCCTTCCATTGGCTTTTCATGTTGATGACTTCCTTTTCCTTGGATGGAAGGATATTGATTGAAGCTTCAACTGACTCTCTTTTTGATGACTCATGTGGTGGTGCTGAGTCATGAAGTGTAGACCCCTAATTTTGCCCGGTCTCTCAATAAAGGCTAAAGAGACTTCCTACAACAAAGACAAAGCTCGTCTGACATCTCAATAAAGGCCAAGAAGACTTCCTATATGAAAATAAAGCTTTAACGGGCGTTTATCGGCATCAAACGACATCCGAATAAAGAAAGGAAAGCTTCCCGGGGGTCCCAAAACACAAAGGTTGTCCAAAACAGGTCGAGACGGCCGTCCCAACCTTCGCTGGCCAAGTGGGACGGCCGTCCCAAGTGGGACTGCCAGTCCCAGGTTTCAGGTGGTCTCAACCTTTGTAAAAGAGGCAGTTGGGACGGCCGTCCCAACCTAGAGGGCGTCCCAAATGTGCAGGCAGCGAAAAAACTATAAATTGGAGGCTCATTTGCCATTGTTTCACACACCAGACAACTCCTAGTACTTGTCTATCCTCTTCCCTCTTCGAATGAACTCTCTCATTGCCTTAATAAGGTAACAATAAGTTAAGGAATCATATTCCAGCATTCGATTCTTCTGTAAAATTGAGTCGAGTCGATCTTGTATTTGGAGAGGAGAGTCTTTGTAGAGCGAAGGATTACCAAAACGCATCCTCACGATTAAAGATTCATAATACAAAGCTTGCTACGGAGGTTCTGTTCAATTCTCTTCTCTTTTACTGCTTTATTTATTGCTTTCTGTATGCAATAAGAAACAAAGTCATGTAGATAGCC